TATATATATATATATGCGCATATGCATGCATGCATACATGCTTTCCCAGTCACATGAAGGATGTTCATAGCCCCAATTTTCAGTCTCGGTTAAACAACACTAAATGGGACTTGAGTTCCCCACAGTGCAATTAGTTGATGCTGATACAAACACTGTAATAGATCTCCGGTGAGCATCCACTCACCCGCATGCAGAGGACTTCATAGACTTCAGCGAGTAAGGGGTCAGCACATTTGAGAAGATGATATAATCACATCTTGCCATAAGTCAAACAAGTGTAATGAGGCAAGGTAATCACTTCATGGGGCAAGGAAAGAGTGATAATTGTTTCACTTGGCTTTATCATTTTAGCTTGCTAATTAATCTACATGCATCTCAATATACAAACAAAATGTTCCCACTGGTCATGTTTTACGATAACTGCCAAGTTGAAACATTGAATACCACCGGCTGTAATGAGACGTTGTTCGTGAGATGGTGTGGTAATGGTAATCGGTGAATAAACACACTCGGTTGTGGGCTATTCAAACATTTCCAAGACCTCTTCTAAAAGTCTTGTTAAATGGCTTCATTACTTGCATCTTGCAAATAGAGGTTTTGAAGACAGAAAACTCACAAATGTAAAAACAAAACAATTTAGAAAATTAAAACTACATGTTTATGACCAGGCGCCCGATGGTTCAGTGGTTAGCCGCGCGTCGACCTCACAGTGCAGAGGTACCGGGTTCAATTCCAGATCCGGCCTCCCTGTGTGGAATTTGCATGTTCTCCCTGGGCCTGCATGGGTTTTCTCCAGGTACTACAGTTTCCTCCCACATCCCAAAAACATGCATGGCAGGCTGATTGAGCACTCTAAATTGTCCCGAAGTGTGAGTGTGAGCGCGGATGGTTGTTCGTCTATGTGTGCCCTGCCACTGCCAGTTCAAGGTGTACCCCGCATATTGCCCAAAGACAGCTGGGATAGGCTCCAGCACCCCCCCGCGACCCTTGTGAGGATAAGCGGATTGGAAAATGGATGGATGGATGGACGGATGTTTATTAACCAAAACAATTACAATGTGAAATGATACAAATATAGACCTACTTCAACAGAGGAAGATTATTTTCCAACACCAAAATGTCTTTATGATGCTGATGCTAATTGATAGTTTGAAGCAGATTCCCTGGAGATAAACTTCATGCATCCCAGCTGTAGAAGAAGACCGCAGAGGCTCTTTCTGCAACAGCAGGCCATCTGTTTGGCTTTCAAAGCAATTTAACTGCTCACTGCCATATTCCTTTAATCGGCCTCTGTTTCCCCCCGCCAAGGAACTCTTTTGAGCTGACTCATTACATAAATAAATAAATAAATAAATAAACAACAACCTGAATCCTCTCAACCAAATGTCATGACATGAAACACCTCGAAGGCCCACCACATGATTTCTGCTTGTAAATGTGCATCATTTGCTCAGCCGGCTCCCTCCCTTGGAAAATGTATCTTACGTCCTTTTATCTATTTGATCTTGTTTCCGCATCCCTATCCTCAGTGGCAAAAGGAATCAGAATTTTCATCAGTCCTACTCAATGAGATCAGAGATGTATTTAACATTACCTGGAAAGTAGGGGCATTTCGTCTTCGTGCTTCAGTAGCATTGATGTCCTGAGTGTATTTGTTTGATGGTACATTTATGAAAACTACGGTTGCTCTGATATCAATTTTTTGGGATCCAGTACAAGTACTCACCGATACAGAGTACTGATACCTGGTAATGCCATCACACCTTGCAATTGTGATCAAAACGTGTTCTATTTCAGCCAAAGACACAAACATTTTTTGAACATGGTTTAAGTTTCACTCAAATAAAACTTGTCATTACTGACTGCAATTTTTTCTGACAGTCCTGCCACACATTTCACTGATAAGGCATTTCAGTTATGTGGTGTTTTCGTCGAAACCGAGAGAGCATTAAGGCAAACAGAGAGTAGGAGGAAATGTTACATCTGTTTTATCTAAAAAATAACGTGACTAAAAAGAAGTAGCAGACTGCTTTTTGAGAATACCACAACTTTAGAAAATAAAACTGTAACCGCAAAACTGAAGTGATACGTCATTAATACATCACTTCCTTTTCTTTGCTCAATGTGCCGCATTGCATCTTTGAGGGGAGTGCGATTGGCTTGGCTTATTTGTAGTCGTACAGACGTCGAGTATCAGCACCATAACAGTGCACCCCTAAGTGTAATTGTCTGACAGAAGTTCAGGATTTCTTTTCAGACAGAACTAATTACTTTTTCATTCAATCTGAAAATTTTAGAAGAAACTCAAGTATTCACATGTCTATGCATACACCGAGGTCAAATCTCTATTCTGTATTTGAGTCCTTCACATAGCAATCAATCCGTGTTGGCATTTGACTGCCTTACAAGCTGTCAGTTGGCCTCCAGGGAAGAATGCAAAACAAATACAAAACAAATCAACATTTTTTTGAGTAGTTTGAAATTTTGAATATTGTTCACGTTAATCATTATAAATACATAAATGTTTAAATTCATGGTCGTACGTGTTATCAGTGTTACCAGCCAAACAACATTATGAACTAATAAGACAATGACACTGCCGCTGAGCCAAGATGATTTTTTTTTCACAATATCGAGTTTTTATCCAGTATCGTGAGCTTTTTTTGAATTGTCATCGTGATAATCTGGCAATTAGCATGGGTTTTAAACATAGGTGGCCAAAACATGCCTAATTCAAATTTAACAGCCATAATAAATTAGCCACCAGAGGGTGGTGGAAGTACATAAATAACCTGGCCTCTTGAACGGATGCTATGCTTCAAACATGACATGACAAAAATATCGTGACAATTTTATTATTGTGAAA